GTTTATGTACATTTGGCTTTAAATACAGAAAAAAGGGGATTTTCCTTTTTTTTTTAATTACAATGTATCCTTTCGGTATAGCAGAAAATATAATATCCGGGCTTTTATGGATTCAACCAGTTCTGTGCGTTCGGAGCGGGTATTAATAAGAACCATTAATAGCATTCTGCAGATACTAAAGGACAGCAAGTCCCAGCATGCCTTGCCCGTGGGTTTCTGGGACTTGTAGTTCTTTGACATAAATCACAGATTGCCTGTTATAGAAATAAAGATAAAACGTCAAAGTGCATAGCAAGTGTGATTCAAGTTGTAAATACAAAAGGGATTCTTGTACTCCATAAGACTCTTTCCGGCCTATAAGGCCGAGAGCAAGAATGATGTTTGAAGTTCCGTCACCCGTAGCAACCAAACATTTTCGGGAGGAAGAGTTCCTATTGGTTGCTATGGGTCATTTTGAACATCAGCCCATATGTAGTCCCTAAAATGCTTTGGAGAGAAATCCCGGAACCTCCTTTGTAAAAAAAACGAGGACGCGGGGAAAGTTCAGCAGCAGCTGGGGATGGTTGCTAAGGGCAACAACCACATTTTTAAAAAAAAAACAAGGCTTGACGCCGTTGCAGACATAATAAAATACAGAGACTGACATCCTTCCTCCATGGATCAAGACACCCTTATGATTTTTTTCCTTTTTTTTTTTTCTGTTGCATAAGCAGCACACATTTTCATCTAAATTGATTACAGTAACCCATAGCAACCAAATGATACATTGCATAAAAAAAAAAGGAATCCTTATTGGTTTCTATGGGTTACCATGCTGTGCACATTGCTTTTATGAGCCTCTCGGCTCGGCTGCAAAAGAGACGGGCCCTCCTTGGATTGAGAGAGGTATACTGAGCTGGAGGCAGTAGGCCCGATGCTTGCAATCTGGTTGCCACGGCAACTTCCACGCTAAATTTAGCTTAGTGTGTTTTTAATTAGATGCAAAGGGGGGTACAAACTTTCTAATTTTAGGTCTAACATGAAGCCTGGAGGAATCAGGAAGGGGGGTGGTGGTGAGGACCACATTGGTGATGACCGAAGAGGGTGGCCCAAGGTCCATCACAGAGGAGGGATGCACTAGGACACTTCACGATTTGACGCTGACTGGGTGTCTTTTTCCAAAATACTCTTTGGTTTTTGCCATCTTCCCTTTTATTTTTAAACAATGAATTTAGCAGCAGGTACATAGAAACTCAATAACTGGTGAAGAAGAGACTGGACTAGTAGGGCTCATGGCTGAAAGTGAAGGTTGTAGGGTTGCTGTAGCAACCGGAGTCTCTTCTATTGTCTGCTGATGTGGTAGTAGGAATCTGAACTGGTTGCCAGGTGCAACGTTTCTTAAAGACACATTGACCAATGAGGCCCACGTCCTCTTCAGTTTGGTTATCTGGCAACGAATGGTCTTAGCAATGGCCAAACATGGATAGAACTATCACCTGATACAACACAAAGTCACACATTTGCATTTCTTTCCAACCACATTCACAAAAACTGAACATTTTTGCATTCTGGACTCACAGGTGACCTGATGTATGAAGACTGGAGCAAGAAACCTGGTGGAAGTTGGATGCGGATTGGTTATTGTTAGAAATGGCTTTGCTTTACCGAGGCTTTGTTACTCCAGTTTTAACCACCTTGGTCAGTTGAGTCTTCCACAAATGTTTCTCCTGTCCACAGGGGTCAAACAACAGTCAATTTCCAGCATTAAACAGTTGCATCCTGTTATAATTCCTCAACAAAACGTTTCCAGAGTTTTATTGCTCAAAAAGTTTGACTTTGATGCCTCTACGTGCAAAGTTGACCATGGCTTACAATGTGACTGTAGGGCCTCCTTTAGGTTGGCCAAGAGTACACAACGTAAAATCCTGCTGAAACAAGGTAATCAGGCCAGCCCTTGTACTACATAGGTGCTGACAGACCTGAAGGAGATTGTACAATCAAATTGTAAAGCTCATAGCTTGAAGGGTTTTTTGGGCATGTTGGACTATAACACATCTTCCCATGCACAGTGAGGTCCATACTAACATACGTTAAAGATAACCCATCAAAAATGGAATTCGCAGGAATCTGAAGATATGATAAAAACATACAGTCTGACTGAAGCACAGAATTTGGATTTCCATCTTGTTAAGCTTTACTGACTTCAACAGAGCCAGATGCTTTAGCTGGGGTTGCACTAGACCCAACAGGGGTGTTGGGTATAACAGTTGGCCAGCAATTCAGGTGCCCTCTGACCCCTTGGATTGCCATTTAATACCATTCCCATAATTCCATCCTGATAGGTTCTCTTTAAGTCTTCAAACAGTAAACCACCCCATCAGATAAAAAGGCCTACCTAACTCCCAGATCTAACTAGTGTCTATTTGTTTACATGCTGAAGAAAAGATAATTGTTCAAGCTCACGGATTGTTTTAGCTTTAAACAGGTCACATTTTAAGTACAGCACTTCTTGCATACGCAGGTTAGAAAACAGGAGGTCTCTGGCATTATGACCTCTTGGGCATCACCAAAAACTGGATTTACCAATCCATGGGCCTACCGGTTGCTCCGGTTGGACATAGCACTTCAATTTCTCCTTTCCGTTCCTACAGTAGAAGCATTAAAAGGACAATCTGGATACTGTGGTCAACAAGAACAATTTTTCCTTCAGACAAATGTTCCACCATGTTCTACAGAACTATTTTACCTCATCATTGTAGAACCCTCTCACCAGCCAAAGCTCCCTTCACATGCCCAAAAGACCACAGTAATGGACAAGGGTATTTTTAATGGCATACATTGAAGCAGATATTGTTAAAGCTTGGAGCTCACACACCCTCAAGGTTGGATCTTCTGCTTAGGTCAATGCTACCCAACTCTGGCCTTCAAAAAACCTGTTGTCCTAATAGCAAAGAATCACGTAACTCATTTCACCTGCCTACAACAGAGGTAAACTTCTACTCTTAGTGGTTCTTGGTTAAAAAAACAGATTGAGTAAAGTTCCATGATCCATTTGTAACAAAATTATAAGTCCCAGAATCCCCTGAGTCTGGTAGTTCTAAAATATTTGGTTGGGGGCTTAAGGGGAGTTTGGAGGTAAAGCGGACCAAGCACTATGGGTTTTTTTTTTTCCTCAAAGGACCTCATTTGGAACGATGGCCCTCAAAGGTCACAGTCCAGCACAGAACGATCCATGCCCTTCTCCAATTTGAAAAGGGAAAAAAAAATTGCGGCAAGCAAAGCCCGTGCGAAGTCTGCAACCGCGCTACCCTTCGCAGCTGACACAAGTGAGAAAAATGTCAATATGGCTCACACATGGCCCTTCATACCAAAGGATTCCTAGCCAAACTAAAGGAATGAATCTAAGATTTCACTTTCCCGTGTTTACAATTATTAGAAATTCCTTTACAGTGTCATCTGCTCCAAATAATCATTTTTCCAAGCCTTCCATCGTTTCCAAATGAGGTTTTTTTTTTCCAACTCATATTATTTGATATGAGATCAATCCACTGATCTCCTCTCCCCTTTTTCCCGGAAATAAACTTTTGCGCTTTGCGAACATTCACACATTGCAGTCATATCTTTGTTTCTCAACGTGCCAACAACAAAAAAGAAAAAAAGAGGTCGAACCCTTTACCCCTTGGAAATGCTGATTCGACTCCCAAAAATTTGGAATGCCCACAGCACACTTGACCTTGCACCTTGACCTTACTTGACTAACAGGAAAGAGAACTTTTTTTTTTCTTTTTTTTGTGGTTGCCGCCTGGGAGAAATTATTATTTTTTCTGACTATTTTCTATGCAAAAAAAAAAAAAAAACGTTTTATTGAAATCCCAAAATAGGACTAATAATTAGCAGCAGGAGGTTTCATTGTCTTTTTTCACTCTTTTTTTAACCATCTTTACTACTTGCTTCTAAAAAAAGAACCAGCAGGTTTTTAAATAATACAATTGTCTGCATTATCTTTGGTATACAATTACATCGTCTCTTTAGTCTTTTTTTTTTTTCTTTTTTTTTTTCCTTTTCTCACTATAAAAATATATTCTATCTTTGCTATAGGAAGACTGCATTGCAGCTCTTTCTAAAATGCATTAGTCACAAATTCCCCTACCTAAAATATGCAAAGAGTGTATATATATATATATATATATACACGTCTGTGGTTACCTATACGCACATAGCATACTCACAGAATTTTGGATTTGGCTTGTTTTTTCGTAATTTTTTTTTTTTTGGCCAATAGCTCCTGACGGGAGTCTGCCCGTTTTTCCTGTACATGACTAGAACACTGAAACAAGAAAGAAACACCACAACATAACTGGTAGGGTGTAAGTAGCAGCAGCTTATGGTTTAAGGCAGATAGTTGCCTATTGTTATGCCATTAAAAATGGACTTGTTCCCAATATTTGAGAGAGAAGTTTGAAAACTCAAAAAGCTTTATCTGCAAGTTCAAGTTTTGTCAAAATAAAAATATACATAATTTATTTTTTTTTTTTTTCCTTTACATTATGTGCCTTTTGGGTTACACTTGAAAAAGGTTTAGTGCTTTGTCTCAAGTTCCCAGCTGCCTATCCTTTTTTTTTTTTTTTTTTTCTTTTTTTCAATGTTGTATAGCTCACCAGGTACAAACTGGTGGAACAAGGTCTTAAGTTATGAGTGTGACCAAGAGGTTGAGAAACGGTTCCACAACGTCTTGTCTGCTTGTTTTTCGGTAGTGTCCCTGCACAGCCTGTTGTCACAAAGAACAGTGCATGGTGGGGGGCATGTCCAGTGACGTGGAACACAAGTCTAGAAGTTCCCGTTTAGACCACCACACTCTACGCTTGCCAATCTTTGCAATAGCTTCCTGTCAGCTGTGTGAGGCTGGATCCGTTTCACCTCTGTCCAACAGTACCGACATCTGAAAACTGCATTGGGCCCCTGCTTAGCAACGGGTGCTGCTGACCAGCTATTATGACCAGCTGTAGTTATACGTTTTTCAGTCATATTTCAGATTCTCGCCTTAGGGGTCTAGGATCAAGAGAAACTTGGTTGTGATTGTCCATTTCGGGATGCATGTCCGTGCTCATGCTATCGGGCAGGCCGTTGTCGCTGCCTTCTTCCTCTCTGCTTGTGAGTGACACTTCGTTCTCGTAGCAAAAAGTGTTCGCATTGGAAAGGATATATTTCTTTTCAGCCAAGTCCCTGGCACTACATACCGGCGTGTTGGGCACTTCATATGTTTTGTGGAACCTGGAGTAGTCAACTTTGTAGTAACTCTTTTCTTCAAAGAGAACGGGCTCATATCGATGGCCCCAGTAGATTTCATTAGCAAGGTAGGAGCTCCGACATTGCGTGGTCATTGCTGTGGCCTCCACCATACCCTCCAGAATCACCACAATTTCAAAGTCAGAGTTCTCTAGGTCCTGTTTGCTAAGATCGTATAGGGGACTGTCTTCATCGATTTCATGAACTATTGTAATGGGTGAAACTAAGAAGATTCTGTCTATGCCACTATCGAAGCCAACGTTAATATCTATTTGATCCAGCGGGATGTACTCCCCTTCGGACGTGATGCGAGACTTCAGCAGCTGAGCTCGTACGTGAGCTTCTACGAGATGGCTCTTGCGGAGGTTGCCCACTCTCCACATCAAGCACAGCTTTCCATCTCTCATGGCTATGACTGCAGTGTCGCTAAAAACCAAAGTCTCATTTCTCTTTTTTGGTTTGGCCATCTTAGCCATAACAGCGCCTATGATGAAGGCGTCAATTATGCAGCCCACGATAGACTGGAACACCACCATGAAAACAGCCACTGGGCACTCATCTGTGACACATCGGAAGCCATAGCCGATAGTTGTCTGCGTTTCGATGGAGAACAAGAAAGCTGCAGTGAAGCTTCTGACCTCAGTCACACAAGATTTGTGATTATCTCCGGCGCCCAAGTCATTGTGGAGTAAAGCGATCAACCAGAAGACACAGCCAAAGAAAAGCCAAGACAGGACAAAGGCTAAGCAAAAGATGACCAGCATCCATCGCCAACGAATATCCACGCAGGTTGTGAAGATGTCAGATAAGTAACGCTGTCCCTTCTCACTGACGTTGATGAACTGAACGTTGCAGTGGCCATCCTTCTTGACGAAGCGGCTCCGGCACTGTTGCCTGGTATGTATTTTGCTCTTACCGTTGCCATATCCGTTGGCAACTGCCATGGTAGCCAACTTCATTCCGTCCTCTTCTGAAGATACAACGCTGTAACGGTTGGTGCGCACGCTGCCCATCACTTCAGTTGTGGACTGCGGTGCTTCTGCTTTTGAAAACAGTCTTAATTTTTGCAAAACTCTTTGGAGAAACAGTTTTGAAGGCTCACAGGGGACGCTCAAGGGGAAGAAATAATGAAGAGATTTCTGTCTCTAGATGTCGTTGGCTCTACCAAGGAAAGTCTTCTCTCATTTGAAGGGGTATCATCGAGCTCGCACCGTCATGTTGATGTCATATCCTGCAACAAAAATATACAGTTTGTGTTAGAACATGAGGAAACAGCAATGAAAGGTTTTCTTTGTTTCTTCCTGTTTAAGATCAACTGTAGACAATGCCATTTTCTACGTCTTATATATTGGCATACCATGCAAGATATTGACCCACAACCATACAAAACCTTTAAATACTTTGAAATCACTCATCTGAAATTCACACTCCACTTAATTGCACGCTGAGGAAGGCAGCTGATCAGCATAACTGCTATAGGCAAAATTGCGAAACCATGTCTGAGTATATGATCACCTTTGTTGTGTTTTTTTTTTTCCAAACAAAATAATCTTCTTATCTTTTTTCCTTGTTTTTTGTTGTTGTTTTTTTTTTACCTTTTCTACCCATTTGGAATGGGTGGTGCTCATATTTTTATCATCTTGATAGTTTGAAACTTATGAAGATTTGAGCATTAAAACATCAGCAATGGTGGTGATGTTGGGGGTGATGATGATGGTGGTGATGGTGGTGGTGGGGTGCTGGGGGTAAGTCAGCTCTCTGTATCAGGAGCTTTGCATCAAAAAACTCTAATCAGTTCTTACATTCTGGTGTTGAAAGCCAACATATCAAAGGTTAAATTGTAAACTTACTCAAAAGACATTCTCTCTGAATGAGAAAAGCAGATCAGTCCTAATCCATTGGCTTGCACTGGTCCATCTTCAGCCCCCTGATACAGGTGGAGCACATCATAAAGCTGCAACCTCTTCCCCCCCCCCTATAGGATGGTCTACATAGGCACTTCTGGTCCTGCAACCTAAACTGCAATTTAATCTTTATAATGTATTCTCAGAGTGGGCCCACATCTGAGAAGGCTTGGACTTACAGTGAGAGAAAGTGGTGGTGGTGGTGGTGATGGTGGTGATTGTGGTGGTGTTGGCTTTGGCAGGGATAAGGAGGTAACTCAGGTCCTCTTGTAAGTGCCCAGGCAGCTGGGTGAATCAGATACAGGCAGGGAGAGTGATCAGGATGGGGGGGGAGCAATTACTGGAACCGAGGGTGTTGGTGGTGGTGATGGTGGTAATCATGGTGGTGTTGGTGATGGTGGTAGTGTTTGGTGGTGGTGTTGGTGGTAATCATAGTGGTGTTGGTGGTGTGGTGGTAGTGTTGTTGGTGGTGTTGGTGTGGTGATGGGGGTTGGTGGGTGGGGGGTGGTGTTGGTGTTGGGGTGTTTGGAGGTGGTGATGGGGGGGTTGGTGATGGGGGTGGTGATGGTGGTGGTGTTGGTGGTGGTGATAGTATTGGTGATGGTGGTAATCATAGTGGTGTTGGTGATGGTGGTAGTGTTGATGGTGGTAGTGTTGGTGGTGATGGTGGTGGTGGCTACTCAAAGCAGATTGTTTTGGAATGATAAAGGCAGATCAATCCTAATCCATTGGCTTTTACTGGTCCAGCTCCCGCTCCCTGATATGAATGATGCACATCATGAAGCTATGACCTTAACCCCCCCCTTACGGAATGCTCCATAGGCACTGCTGGTCCTGCAACCTAAAAACCTAAACTGTAAGAATAAGCTTCATGAAACATTCTCATAGCGGGGCCACGTCTTTGGGTTTCAACCAGGGTTAAGAAGGGAAAGTTCTCCCCTGGGCCCTAAAAGTGAGCGAATCATCCTGTTGTCCATCCAAAACCCAACATATCAAATGTTAAACTCTAAATCTACTCAAAGCAGATTGATTTGGAATGATAAAGGCAGATCAGTCCTAATCCATTGGCTTGTACTGGTCCACCTCCAGCCCCCTGATATGAATGAAGCACATCATGAAGCTATGACCTTCACCCCCCTTACGGAATGCTCCATAGACACTGCTGGTCCTGCAACTTAAACTGTAAGAATAAGCTTCATGAAACATTCTCATAGTGGGGCCACTTCTTTGGGTTGCAACCAGGGTTAAGAAGGGAAAGTTCTCCCCTGGGCCCTAAAAGTGAGCGAATCATCCTATTGTCCATCCAAAACCCAACATATCAAATGTTAAACTCTAAATCTACTTACAGCAGAATGATTTGGAATGATAAAGGCAGATCAGTCCTAATCCATTGGCTTGTGCTAGTCCAGCTCCAGCCCCCTGATATGAATGAAGCACCTCGTGAAGCTATGACCCCCCCCCCCCCCCACTATGGACTGCTCCATAGGCACTGCTGGTCCTGTAACCTAAACTGTAAAAATAATCTTCATGAAACGTTCTCATAGTGGGACACGTCTTTGGGTTGCAACCAGGGTTAAGAAGGGAAAGTTCTCCCCTGGGCCCTAAAAGTGAGCAAATCATCCTATTGTCCATCCAAAACCCAACATATCAAATGTTAAACTCTAAATCTACTTACAGCAGAATGATTTGGAATGATAAAGGCAGATCAGTCCTAATCCATTGGCTTGTGCTAGTCCAGCTCCAGCCCCCTGATATGAATGAAGCACCTCGTGAAGCTATGACCCCCCCCCCCCCCCCCCCCACTACTATGGACTGCTCCATAGGCACTGCTGGTCCTGTAACCTAAACTGTAAAAATAATCTTCATGAAACGTTCTCATAGTGGGACATGTCTTTGGGTTGCAACCAGGGTTAAGAAGGGAAAGTTCTCCCCTGGGCCCTAAAAGTGAGCGAATTATCCTGCTGTCCATCCAAAACCCATCTATTTTGGGTTGACCTCCCCTTTACGTTCCACGGGGGAAGGAATCTATGTAATGAACGAACCTTCTTTGCTTACCTATTCAGATCATGACAGGTCTATATAAATGAACAACAATAGCATGCCTATGTTTGCATGACCCAATTACACTCATGTAGAGCGTAAATGGGTCACGTTGAGCTTGATCACCCCAAATCCATCACTGCGTCGTCTACCATATTAATTCTTCTATAGACTTGATAACCATAAACCGAAGTATTTAATTTCACGGCAGCTCAATCGTCCTAAAATTAAGTTAGGTGTTGACTGACGACTAAACCACTGGCCTGGGATGCCGAGCATCTGGTTGGAAATGAGGTTGTATCAGCTCTGTCTCATGTGGAAACGAATGAACCTGGCTCCTTATTACCTGAAATAAATTCTAGACTATTAAAAGGCCAGCCGTGTAGCACAGCAACCATCCCTGGCGACGCACCAACTGTAAACGCAGTTCCTGTGGGAGTTATTACCCAGAAGATGACCCCAAGTATGGCCATGTCCCTCACATGACATTGCTCAAGCTCCATTCATTTGGTACATTCTCACGCACATACTTGGAAGGAAATCAGAGACCTGTTTATTTTCTGAGGATTTTCATTTCCAGCTTGATCACCATGAGGGCTTTGTTGTCAAAAACCACCTATTTTCCAAGAACCCAGAAAAAAAAAAAAAAACCCCATCAGAATCTAAGAGCCAAAATAGAGGGGGCAGGTGCTATATTGGAAAGGTTCTGAAAGGCTAAATGTGGGGGGGGGGGGGGGGGGGGGGGGGGTATCAGGACCCCTGGCTTGCTGGCTTCCGGGATTTGTCCAATGCTTGCTTGAAGCAAATATCAAGAAATCTGAAATATAAGGCAGCTTAGCGGTCTTTAGATGTGGTTGCTGCATTAGTTTTCTTTTTTTTCTTTTTCAGGCTTTTTTTTCTTTATTTTCACCTTGTGATCCTGCCAGTAACAAACCTGTTCTAGGGTGATTTTGCATCTCCATAATCAGTGTTGGGACAAGGTCATCCAGTGTCCAGGGCAAAGATGCCAAACTGTGCCCCCCCAATTAATGAGGTGCGAGCTTTGGGAATCTGCATAGGGGGTACGCAACCCGCACCCCCTCCCAGTCCTCTTCTCGCTGCTCCCAGCACTGGGCTGAAAAGAGTAGTGATGCCGCTGTCCAGGGGCGGACTGACCATTTGGAAACTCGGGCACTGCCCGGGGCCCAGGGTCAGTAGGGGGTCCCATGAGATGCCCCTGGTACCTTTTTCATCGGCTTTTTTGAGTTTGGGCAAGGACACAGGGGCCCCATGATCCCCTATTGCCCAGGGGCCCCATGAGTTGTCAGTCCACTCCTGCCGCTGTCACTACTCCTGTCAGCCTTGTCACAGAAGGAACAGAAGCACAGGGTGCCCCATCCTTGCAATAAACCACTGCGCCCCGCCCAGGGTACCCACCTCTTCTGCCCACCCCCTGTCCTGGCCCTGTCCATAATAGAGGGGGGAAGTGATTTGTAGTCCACAGAGACACCTGCAAACACTCCTATCTGATAATAATCAGCACAGGTAGAGCGTACGGGAAGTTTAGACAGCATTTCTAAGTTCCAGCAGGCAGGCGGCAGGGAGCTGATGTCCTACACTGCACAACATAGAGCAGGGAGCTAAGTGTAATCTGAGACCTGAGTGGAGGGCCCTCCCACCCTACATAGTCTTATAGGGAAACATGCACAGCTGTCAGTCACTTGCTGTGTGTTGGTGGGGGGATTGGACCATCTTCTGGGATTGTCTGGTGTCAGCGTAGAATGTCAAAAATGGTAGAAGAATTACAGAGCAGACGGAAATCATACTAAGTGTTTTGGATTGAGGTAAGTACATGCTATAGAAAGATATGCTTTGCTCATGTTTCATTTTCAGAGGTTTACAACCACCAGACTGACAACTCATGGGGCCCCCGGGCAATAGGGGATCATGGGGCCCCTGTGTCCACACCCAAAAAAGCCTATGAAAAGGTACCAGGGGCATCTCATGGGGCCCCCTACTGA